TTAAATATTTTGGCAACTAAGAATTGAATATGGACTCCAATGATTTTAGTCGTGGGGGATTAAGCTTCTTGTCTAGTGGGTATAAGCTAACTTTATGGTTTATTTCTGCTATGAGCGTAAGAAAATAAAAAATAACTCTAGCTATCTGAAACTTTATTTCTTGCTGCATTTATTTTGTGCCTAGCTACTTCGTGACACATTTTATACAACGGCCTTGAAGCCAGAGTACCTAAGCATTGAATGAGAGTGTGATAACATTACTTTTATGAATTGCTTGTCTTAGGGTGTGTCACATTATCTAAGAGAAAGTTTAGAAAAATGCATATGTGCTGAAGCTGTGATAAATCGCATAAATAGCATGTAGCACACAAGTGATAATGTTGTACACTAGTAACATGTCTGAAGATGGACAACTTGCAGAAAATTATTATCTTAGTTTCGAGGAATACCATTTTCTTTTTCTGTTTTACTTCATTAAAGTAATTTGATAAGGGTGGATCTGCTCGATTGACTATATTATATAGAGATGTTAATTGTTTTAACATAAACTTTGCTTGGTCATATTGTCCTTCGCACTCTTATTAAATATGTTTCACGATCATTTACTTTAATGTTGCCTTGGACACCTTTTGACATTATATTATGAGAAATGTCAAAGTGATCATGTATTTTCTTCCCTTCATAATAGGAACAAGGCTCTCAAATAATACAAATGCCGTCGACCAAGGAGTTTGAAGACGCTTTGTGTTTTATTTTTTAGTCATTATTATATACGTACAATGACAATATGAACAATAAAGTATTGTATAGTATTTTATTATAACTTTTTAGTAATTGATGTATTTATAATATATAGCTTGAGAAATATTTTTGGTGTTTGTTGATTAATATGGAAGCTTTTGGTGTTGTAACTAATATTTGTGTATTTTTTTTCGGAAGTGTCGCATCTGAAATCTATTAGAAATTTTGGCTATTGTAATTTGAAAGAAAATGTGGTTTCAGTGGCGACAAAGGTTGCCACCAAAGGTTATTCTTCAGCAGCGACTTATGTAACATCTCCTTTTGTGAAACTCTTTTGTAGCATATTTATTTTCTTTTAGTGGTGGGTAAAATCGCGACAAATATGTCACTTTTTATGGCGACTTCAATTGTCGCCGCAAGTAACATTTAGTTACGGTTATTGTTGCAGCAAACTTGCAGTCGCTACTAATGGTATTTTGTGGCGACTTTTGGAGTTGTTGTGGTGACAATAAGATAGATTTCTTGTAGTAAAAACATGTGTACAATAACCAGGGGCGGATGCAGCTAAATAGTACCAGGTTCATATGTGGTCCAGAACCGAAATATTGTCTTTTTGGACTCAAAATATTTTTTTTAGGTGGAAAAAAAAATTTAGTTACCAAAATATGTAAAACGGGGTTTGGGGCCAGAAGAGGAACAATGTAAAGGACAATAGAAAACGTAGTTGTGAACTGCATTTTTGTAAAACGTGGTTTTTAATCGCGTTTTTGTAAAACACAGTTTTGAACCGCGTTTTATCTTAAAGTCCCAAACGGTCGTTAAGGTAAAACGTGGTTCAAAATCGTGTTTTACATATTTTGGTAACTAAGTTTTTTTAAACCTAAAAAAGTAATTTGAGTCCAAAAGGACAACATTTCGGTTCCGGACTCGTTCATCTGAACTCAGTACCTTTGACGTGGAGTATAAATTCATGTATAAAATCCACTAAAATTATAGCAAAGAATAGATATGAACTCATAACTTAAAAATATAATGGGTTCAATGCTAAAAATCTAAGAGATTGAACCCATAGAACTTAAATCCTGGATCCGTCTCTGACAATAACAAACATGAATTTCTACTAGACACACTACTTATCGATCAGATCATCTATTCTTTATGTATAGTATTTGGGCCTTCACTTGTAGCGGTCAAAATTGGTAAAAATTGCACGGGGCGCCCTATTTGGTCGTCCTCATTTAACCTATACCCATTTTTTAAAAAACTTTTAACTTGTATCTACTTTTTAAATAACGCCAGCCCTCTTTCTCCTAGGGGTGGGCGTTTGGTATTTCGATTCGGTATTTAAGAATTTCGGTTCGGTATTTCGGTATTCTGTTTATCAATTGTGTATACCAAATACCATACCAAAATATTTCGGTACGGTTCGGTATTTCTTATTTTGGTTCGGTACGGTTTCAGTTTAACAATCAATGAATAATCAATGCTAACAGTGCACATGCACAATTGAAATTTCCACTCTAAAAGAATCTGTTTTCTGATATATAACAGTGCACAACTGCACATGGCTGATCTGAATCTGATGGCACATGCACAATTGAATAAGTGAAAAGCAAAAGCTGAACAAGACAACAACTTCTTTACAATCTGCAGTTCCACGCCAGTATATTGTATATCATATTATACAATATTACAATTTGCATTCTGCAAGCCGGTATTAGTATACAAGTGAAAAGCAAAAGCTGGCCAACTGCACAATGCACATTACACAACTATATTAAACAACTTAAACACAGTTGACAGTTCAATACTGCAATCAACTGGCCAACTGCACATTACACAACTTAACACTTAACACAGTACACAATTGAATCTGTACACAACACATTACACAACTTAACACTTAACACAGTACACAGCCAAACCATCTGAACAACATCTGCAAGCATGAACTAAGATGCAGCAGCAGAGAAACCAGTGATTGGAATTGTGGCCAAGTGTACCAGGAACACAGCAAATCCAATAGGCAATGGTGCCAAAAGAGGGACATGTAAATCCCTAGCACTACGTTTAGCATCAGTAGCAGAGAAAACAGTGTAAACAAGAACGAAAGTGCCAACGATCTCAGCACCAAGACCTGATCCCTTTGTGTAACCAAGATTTACAACATTGGCACCACCACCCTTTGTTTGATAAAGAGTTTTGCTGAACCCTTTGCCCACACCAGCACCACAGATAGCACCAAGACACTGCATCACCATGTAGAACACTGCCCTTGTCAACGACAGTTTCTTTGCCAAGAACAGCCCAAAGGTCACTGCTGGATTTATGTGTCCTCCAAAAATGCCAGCAGTACAGTAGACAAGGGCAAAGATCATGCCCCCAAAAGCCCAAGCAATGCCTTGAATACCAACAGTGGAGCATTTGGACTCAGACTTTGAAATGAGTTTCGAATATAAAATTAATCTTCGTTAAAGAACATCGCTAGAAATCTTCATCAAATTCATTTCCATCGCTAGAAAGTAGAAATCGCTAGAAAGTAGAAACATACCTTTGAAAATTGAAACTATCGCAAGTTCACAACAGCAGCATCTTCGTTTTCCCGGAATTTGTGAGGAGTGAGGACTGAGGGGTGAGGAGTCGGAGCTCGGAACCTTGGTAAATTATTTACGATTAGCAACCTTGGTAAATTCTTTACGATTAGCAACCTTGGTAAAAATCCAACAAATCCCATCACAACAAAACCGATCGATGTACGAGTAGCAACCTTGGTAAATTCTTTACGATCAGGCTTGTGACATCTTTTGACGAGCCTAACGCTGTCTTTGGCGAAATCTCTAAGAGGATCGAACACATAATCGAGAGTGTCCCTTTGCATTAGATCTGATCTGAAAGAAGAAGAAGATCAGGGTTTCTCTTTTGTATCTGAATTGGACAAATGACCTTTAGAATGGGGCTGGGGCGATGGGCTGGGTGTTTGGGGCTGGGGCGATGGGCTGTGCAGTAATAATTAAGAAAATGTCTTTTAAAAATCGGATTTTCGGTATTTCGGTATACCGAAATTTCAGAATTTTAATACCGAAGACCGTACCGAAATTGCAATACCGAATTGGACCGAAATACTGGAAAAACCCGAAACCGAAATACCGAATTAATTCGGTCCGGTTCGGAATTCGGTTTTTCGGATTTTATGCCCACCCCTACTTTCTCCTCCTCCTTTGTTTTCTTCTTTAAGTTACAAAACAAATTGGTATTTTTATCTCCAGAAGCAATGCTGCTTTAGTTATAAGGTCAATTTTTTTTAATTAAACAGTTCGGTAGTTGTACTTCTGCTCCAAATTTACAGCAAAATTAGTCTTAGGAAAAAGTTTAAGTTACCAGTTGGGTTTGTTTTGGATTGCTCACTGTTGAAAAGCGTTTTTGTAAGGCCAATTGTTTGTGTGCCCTTTGAAAATATATATATTTCTTGGTATGATTTTTGTGCAATATATATTCATACGCCTCTCTACTTATTTTTGTTTGTTTGGGCACCGTTATTCCTTTTTTGTCTGAGAGGACATATATCGAGCATCTTGTGGCTTTCTTAAAAAACACAACTTGCTCATTCTAGTCCACTTCAGCTAATAGCCACCAGCTACAACTAAGGCAGAACAGCAAAAATACAGCTAGAAAATTATAATTGACAAATACAGCAAATTAACAAAAACTTCAGCTCTAGAGCTAAGTTCACCAGTTACAAAGACAAAAACTTCAGTTCTAGAGCTTAAGTTTCCCAGTTACAAAACAAAAACTTCAGCTTTAGAGCTGAAGTTTCCAGTTACAACACAAAAACTTCAGCTCTAGAGCTGAAGTTTCCCAGTTACAACACAAAAACTTACTCTAGAGTTGAAGTTTCTAGTTACAACACAAAAACTTCAGCTCTAGAGCTGAAGTTTCCCAGTTACAACACAAAAACTTACTCTAGAGTTGAAGTTTCTAGTTACAACACAAAAACTTCAGCTCTAGAGCTGAAGTTTCCCAGTTACAACACAAAAACTTACTCTAGAGTTGAAGTTTCTAGTTACAACACAAAAACTTCAGCTCTAGAGCTGAAGTTCGTCAGTTACAAAACAAAAACTTCAACTCTAGAGCTGAATTTCAGGCCCGGCTACTAGAATGCTGAAGTTTTGCGTGATTGTTTTTGCTACTTCAACTCCGTGTGCTGAAGTTATGCGAAAAAGCGGGTACGGTTATAATTTTTTTTACAAAGTGGGCACAAATTAAAATACGACACAAAAAACATGTATAGATGCAAATGCCCCTCAAAATTGTGAGGCCCAAATGTAAACAGTACTAATTAACTAGTATGTCAAACGGTATATTGTCACTATATGTCAGTATGAAAGTTTACTGCTGTTTTAATTTAATTAGTCTGTAGGCTTGTGATTATTAATCGGCGGCTTTCGGCGAGGCCCACTTCTTCCGCTGTAGTCTTTGCTCATAAGTCTTGCTACTTCATTTTCAGCATCACGAAACTCCTTTGTTCTATCCACCTATCATAAATTCAGTATATTAAAAGGAAACTAATAAAGAAGGGATACAATTATAGGAGTATATCTGTAATTAGGCAATATAAAAAAATTTATATCAACGCTCAGTATAGTTTAACGTATGTTATAACATGTTATTTACTTTATCTTTCAGGTTTTCAAAGTGATTAACTTAAGCTAATATTATTAGAAGTGGTACATTACCGGTGCATAAAACTTAAACTCTTACGGAAAAGCTGTCATCTAGTATTATCTTAGGTTGGGAGTTGGGACGTACGTAAACTAAACTGATTTTGTTCATTTCTATAATCACTTAAAAAAATTCTCAAAATATAATATCACTTAATTACTAAGCAAAAAATAAGAATCTTTTGAGATGTGTGTCTGTTAATTTGTTCCCTTGGAGGTCTGTGAAAGAGAGAGAAGAAAACCTGAGCAGTCATGGGATGTAGTTGAACTAGAGGAGGAGCCTTCTTTGATTCACTTGTAGCATCTCCTATATATCGAAACATAACCCTAACATTCAATAAATAATTAAACGAGGAAAATCCAAAAGCTACGAATATTTCCTTGCCCAATACATCAATATTGCCTAATTAAAATCGATAATGTTAAATAACTATTCATAATAGGTGGAACTAGTAATATGAAAAATAAGGCAATTAATAATATTCTATAGGGTAACTCAGTCCACTAAGCTCTCGCTAGCTATGCCCGGGATTCGAGGAAGGGTCAGACCACAGGGGTCTATTGTAGCCAGTCACATGCATTTCTGCAATAGGCTGTTTCAACGGGTCGAACCTGTTAACTCCTGGTCACATGGTAACAACTTTACCAGTTACGCCAAGACTCCGCTTCAATAACTTTCTATAGCATGTTTTAATTGATGTAAAGTTTTGTTACGACAGTGTTAGTAGATATTAGTTACTAAGCTAGAAAATAGACTTGCTATATAGTTGTTGTGTACCTGCAACATTTGAAGCTCTTCTGGCAGATATATGCTTTTCTTTCTTTACCTTACTTGAAAATTGATCCATCAGCATTTTTCTTCCCCGAGCAGCTGAAGTAATGATAATATAGTCTGGAGAATCCTGTTCAGATTTGTCAATAGAGATGCTCATGAGCTAGCATACAAAAAATACTCCTACTATTAATAAGTAAAAATCAAGAATCGAGAATTGACGGTATTTGGCACAATGAGAGTCATTTTCCATGGAAACTGTTTTCTATTATCCGGTTGACGAGTGGAAGATATTCTTTGAAAAAGAATTACTATATATTAAATAATAATAATAATAATATTTGAAGTGAGTTTTGACGAAATTTTTGAGTATGAAAAATTAACAATGATCTACGCACATGTTAGTTGAAGCAAGTAATACATATGAGATTAAGAGTGATTAGAGTTGCAGGAAAATTGAATTCCCGGAAGTGAGGAAGTCATTTTAATTTTTCCTTTCAATGGAAAATATGTTCCTCGGAGATAACTAATCAGGGCAGCCCGGTGCACTAATTGTTCCTGCTATGCGTGGGGTCCCGGGAAGAGGCGGACCACTAAGGGTCTATCAGCCTGTAAGAAGCTGTTTCCACTACTTGAACGCGTGAGATAACTAATCAAACACTGAAAAATGATTCTTACATAAAAAAAGAAAAATGCTTCCGTTGTACCAAAGCAAAGGGAAAAGCTTCAAAAATCATACTTACGTCTTTTAGAAGAATTGCTTCTGTCTCTGTAGTGGACAAAATGGTGACAAAATTGCTTACTTCAGAAAG